CACCGCCTGTGGGATTTCAGATGGCAGTAATCCCAGGGAAGCCTTGGAGGCTTTACTGGAATGGGGTGTTGATAAATCCTTCCTGACCGCCCCACAGTCCAGGGAAAACTGGCGTTTCTCTGTGTGCGGCGCTGGTGGTTCCCCATCTGGATGGCCTGGTTCTGGCAGAGGCCCCCCTGTCCGTGAAGGGAGAGAACTGGAGTACAGTGATGCCTGCACTTCAACCGTTTTTTGTCTAATTTGGAAGCACGTAATGTTTGAATTTTACAGTTGCTATGTACAATTTTTATATAGCATAATAAATATTTGTGGTGACTGTAGCTCGGCAATCCTGGGGAGAGAAATAGGCTTGTGGAAAGATTTAAATTCAGTTTATCTTCTGCATTAGCAATGAAGGCAAAGCATTTGAGATAGGAGCTAGTCATCTTTTTGTGTAGTGGGTTTTTTTTTCCTCCTCGTCTTCCTAGTATCCTAAAGTGTGCTTGGGGAATTCTTGGAGATCTCTAACCTCCCATAAGAAATCATGCATGAATATGGTTATTTCAAAGCAGTGCTGTGTTGCGCTGGTAGCTTTCATAACGTGTTACCTCTTGATAACTTCTAGGGCTTTTTAGGAAAACAAATTGTTATTGTCTGCAGTTTAGAACAAGTGTAGAGCGATAAAATACTAATTTGGTGTTAAGTTAGAAAAATATAAATGAATGTGCTGGAATCTTAACTTCTAAGGTTTCCTAAAAAAATGTCAACTTCATCTTTCATCTTGTGCAGGCTATTCTGATGGTAATGATAGTCAAGATTAATAAGCTTTAAATTGCTGAAGGCTTGTTATCTTACAGTTGCATGTGAATGGATGAACCTTGACGCTTATGTGTGTCTGTTGTCCAGGTCTGACTGGAGGGTTAGGATTTAATCACTGACATGGGCGGGCAGGAGAAGGAATAAAATGCTGTGTTAGAGTGCTATGGTAATATAAGATGAATGACATATATTAATAACCGTAGTGTTAAAATGTCCATAGCTACATTACTATACAGCGTCAGACTATTATCACAAAGACGAAAGATCTGATATTTCTTGCATGTTACTTACGTTATGCTTCTGATAGAACCGACACATCTCAGGTTTAGTAGCTCCTATTTTTGGTTGGCCTTTAAGTTAGGGGCAAGGACACTAATGATACTAAGTGCTAAATGTCAAACTGACATTTTAGACATACTTGTTTGAAAATGCAGCACCGCAATTCTTCCTTTAATGTTTGTAGGGTTTTCTTAAGCATTTCTGCAGCCTGCAGAATCCAGGAGTTTGAGGCTCAAATCCAGTATTTTTCCAGGGTTGCCTGTCCCCAGGCATGTCAGATTTAAAAGAATGAGTAGACTTGCAGACCTTTGCAATTGATGGGGTATTCGGTTTGTTATGCTGATCTCTTAATGCTGTTCAGTTTGCAACAGTAGTTCATGCAGCAAGACTAGACTTTGTGTTATTTCAAGTGATTTAGTGTTTGTCTTAACTTGAAAATATTTTTTTTTTTTTTTTTTTTTTAAATTGTAGCCTAAGCTCTACATGTCCATTATTGAAGATGTGATTGAAGGTGTGCGGGAACTCTTTGCAGAAGAGGGTTTAGAAGAACAGGTTCTGAAAGATTTGAAGAAGGTTTGTTGGGTTCCTCTGCATTCATAGAAGTCCTGGGCATGGTTTTTAATTTTGAGATGACGTACCTGTCTGTTTCTTTGCCCTCCAAAACATGCAAACTTTTGCCCTAAGTTAGAATTATAAATATCCTGCGAGTGTGTTGGATGCTGGAAGTTGAAATTCAGTAGCAATTGTTACCATGTTTATTGGATAGAATCAGTCAAGTTTATTCTTGGAAAAAACAGAAATACCTGATTATCACTTCAGATGTGGTTTGTTTTTTAAGGCTGCTATCTGTTGACCTTAATCTTTCTGCAGCTTTGGGAAACCAAGGTGATGCAGTCTAAAGCAACAGAAGGCTTCTTCAGACATAACCACCATCCTCCACAGTTTGCCCTGCAGCTGCCTCACAATTTTCACAACGTTCTGCAGGCTTCAACAGGTCAGATGCTGGTGAACACAACAGATGCAATTTAAGAATAGCTCAGTGATTCAAGAGTCTTTTTGGAAGACTTGACGGTGCTGCAATAATCTTGGTTTGCGATGCTTATGGATATATCTAGCATGATGGTGAAGAGTAATTATTTGAAAGTGGAATTTGACTAATAAAGGATGAAATAAACTTTGGGTAACTAATGTAATTATGTCTACATGTTCTTGATCTGCTGCTTATTTCCGGTAGCAAAACATGAAGAGAGTTTTAACCTTCTTGTCTGCAGTCCAGAAATGTACCCTTCCATTGAAAATTTACCAGTAGGGTTAAGCTTTCATCTCCCCTTTTAATCTGTGACATGCTGTGTGCTGGGTTATATGGCATGTTTGTGCCATGCAGCTTTGCTGTCATGCGGGAGTTTAATCTGGTTTTGCACTTGTTAAGATGTAATTCCTTGCTCAAACTGAAGAGGGAGAGGTTTTTGGTTTGGTTTTCAGTTAGTTTTCTGAAAATTCGTATTGCTGTTTTTTGTAAAGTGATTTTTTTTTTTTTAATTATAGCTTCTTTACTCATCCCAACTGGCAGAGGTTTTCAGCATTTCACCACAGCAGAACTGGTACGTAGATGTAGTGGCATTTCAATTTTGATTATTCTGAATTCTAAATGAATAAATTTTTCAGTTGATAATAGGCTTAAGGGGAGACAAGTATAGATGCTGTAGGACAGCATTTAAGGAAGGAAAAAGTGGCATTTCTTGTGATAGTTTCATCTGTCCAATATGGTATAGTATAGCAGGCAAGGGAGCAGGAGTCCTGCTGGAGGAGAACCAACAGCTGAAGAGGCTCAGCACTGTTACTTCTAGCTTTTTTTTTTTTTTTTTTTTTAATGAAAACCAAGAGTCTGTAGAGGGGAGACCTGCAACTCTGCTGCTTCTGTCTGAGCAGTGAAGAGGGGGATGGGGGTCTACCGGAATTGCGCTGGAAGCATGGCTGCGTGTGTTTAGTCTGTAGCGTGGAAATGCACATCTACAGATCCTATTTTTTTTTTTATTGCTGGGTGTTAAAATAATGCATGGCTGGGAAATACTAGCAGTAGTGAAGCTGGGAGCAGTGTTACCAGCAGGAAAAGCGTGTTTTTAGAGTTGACAGGTTCTGAACTCCGGGCATGACAAAATTTGTTTGGGGAGGAGCTGTTAATTATCAGAGCTTGATGAACTTTTGAGTGCCTCCTGAGCCTTAAGCTAACTAGCTTGCTAAGCTGAAATATAATGTTGGGAAGATGTTCATATAACATGCAAGTTTCCTGATTTAAGATTTGGATTTCTCCAGAACAGCTAGTTTGAAATAGAGCAGTATATCCAGGAGAATGCATATATCCAGTATGCTTTCCAGGAGAAAGAGAATGTGAAGTGACTTCAAGGGCTTAGGCAAGGAGTCTACACTGTGTGGAGTAATGCATAAGCTTAGGCAAAAGTGGCTCTGAGTGGAAAAATACCTTTCTAGGTGGTGTGTACATTGAGGGGGTAAAAGAAAGTGTTCTGTTAACAAAAAAGGAATGTGATAACTGGAAAACAGGAAACACTTAGGGCAAGTGATTATCCTGTCAATACAGAATACTCTTTTTCTGTCTAAATCTCCGAAGTCTGAAGCAACTCTTCAGTAAAGATGATGACAAAAGGGTCCTCATTCACATTTCATCTGCGTATGTTCTGTGTGACATCTAGGGCCCTAGGAGATAAAGTATGCACTATTTCTTAATAAAGCTCTTGTGTATCTAGGGTGCTTCACAAGCAGGTGCAACTCTCACTCTCTCTGCGGGTATTGCTTATCCTATACGGGTACCAGCTGGAGTGACACTACAGGCAGCATCTGGTAAGATTAAAGAGGAGATGTAAAATGTTACAGTGCACTGACTGTCTGTGGATACTGAAAGATGGTCCTGAGTACAGAAGATTAATGTGAAATTAAAGTATTGTTGGGGAGAGCCAGTTAGCCTCTTCTTCCTCTGTTTGTGTTTGTAATTGCTGCGTGTGGGAAGTAATTACATGGATTAGTTAGTGTGTCAGCTGTGTAAAATTGCAAGATCAGTTAACATGGGCTGCCAGGTGATGCTATTTGTTGGTTTTACAACTGCTTGCAAATGTGTTCCTTTGTCAATCCAGACATAGGTATCTCCTCCTCCTATATGGGGCATGATCCTCTCTGTTTTAAAAAGGTAAAGGCATGCTGGTGCTTCAGAATCAAATTGATTCCTTATTGAAATAAAATCCAACCATCCATTGACCTTTTTTCACTCACTCTCTTTTGCTGATAAAACTGGCTGTACTGCTTTTACAACAGCGTGCTTGTACTGCTTAGTGTGTGATGAGTGGAAGGCTTATTTCGGTCATTGACTGACTCTTTCCTCGAACAGCTGCTCTTTGTTGAGTACTAATGTCACTTGGTATCTATTTCAGGTGTAATTCCTAAGATTTTGAGCCCTATAGGCAGTTATCAGTCACTCTGTGTGTGTGTGTGGAAAGAATATTTAAATGAAATTGGGAACTTAGCTCTGGCATCTTAATTCTAACACTGATAACTTTTAAGGTTTCAATATTTGAAATAGTTTTCATACAATGAGAGGATAAACAAGGAGTCTTTTTTTTTTTTTAACTAAGCTAGGCAGTTTTTGTAGATATGGAATAGTTTACTGTTTTATCTTGTATTCCTTTGTTTCTGAAATGACAAATTTTTGAACTTATTGCCACAGGGTATTGTGGAGGGCCAAACCAACAAGGGCTATTAAATATGATGGTCTGTAGGAAAGCTCTGACACAAAAAGCCCACAAACGCTTAATTTTCAGAGGCTGAAATTGTGCTTGGGGCAGTCCTGCTTTGTAAACATCCTGCTTCTCATAGTTTGCCTGAGTGTTTGCTATTGGCTGTGGTGGTAACAGGACAGTGGCCTGGATGAACCTGTAGTTTAACCTGCTGAAGCAGTTTTTAACTCTTCTCTTTGTAGGGCGCCTTTATAAGGTAAATGTGCCTGTTATGGTTACACAGGCCCCGGAAGACGCAGGAGTTCTACATCACCCTGTTCAGCAGATATTTCAGCCCCTTGGGCAACCTCCAGTTCTGCAAGCCAGCATTGCCAGTGTTGCCCAGGCAGTTGCTGAAACATTGCAACCCCAGGAGGCTGCTGTCCAACAAAGCACAGTGTTTCAACCAAATGCCACGGAAAAAACCCACCTGGAGAACTCTGCCAGTGCTACGTTGGTCCAGCAGCCCTCTGTCAGTCAGCAGCCACTTGCAACTAACGCTGCGTTCAATCAGCATGCAGACTCAACCGAAAAATCCCAGCACGGCAGTTTGCACACAGCTGTGTTTACTCCAGAATCCTCTGAAGGGTTTTCTCCCGCTGAATCCTTGGCAAGCAACTCGAGCAGCGTACTGCTGGATATGGAGGGTCAGCTAGACATTGAGCCTCAGGAATTGGTGCAACAGCAGGTGTCTGATGATATCCTTGACCTGATTATCATGGGCAAAAGTTTGGATGATAATGCTGTTCTGAAAGATCACGGCAGCATTGCTTCCTTTGACAAGGTAAGACCTTTTATTTCTCAGCTGGTGGAAGTACATCTGTTGGAGATGGTTGTGTGAAGTATCGCAGGAGATGAGATAAAACACGTCTGTAACTGATAAGTAGCAGCTCTAATTTATAATAATAAAAATAATTATAATTTTTAAGTTCCTTCTCAAGCTTGTTTTGAATAGCAGTACCTGCCTGCTGCTTTTTCATTAAGAATTTGTCACAAATATTGCTGAAATATGGGGACTGAAGAGAATGTCAGGCTAAAAAATACTGAGTGTAATGCATAGATATAATGTATTCTTAAACTTACTATTTTGGGGGATAACAGTGTTGTTGTTGGTGTTTTTTTTTTTAATTTTATTTTGCAACTGAGCAGACATGAATGACCCTTTGGGAACTTTCATGTCACTGATGCTGAATCTGCATGTGGCTACTGGCCAGTTGTGGGTAAATTACTTTTGCAGTGTCAGCTGGGATTAGTTTTAACTGCTCTTCACACATTACAAGTTAACTTGCATTGAGAATGCATACTGAGTATGAAAAGTCAGGTTTGATAAGTGAAAATTTGCTGGAAGGAAATGTATTTCCTTGGGAAAACATCCTAAACAAACCAGAATTCAGCTAGAGCTGTGTGGAAAACTTGAATGATTTTAATTAACAGGCCACTTTCCTGACTTCATCTAATTTTTTCCAATAAATTATTTGCAGATGTGTGAAGTTCAGGCTGGCTCCCTGACTTTGAGCTGTAGCGCTTGTGTGTGATTGAGGCAGATTTAATGACAGTAGTGACAAATGACTGTAAATAGGTAGCGTGTTATGTTGTTCATCTGAACTTTTGTGGCAGGCTGATGAAGACCGTCCGTAGTAGAAAGGGAAGGTCAAAACGAAGTGTTATTTTCTTGAACTAGAAAGTGTATGTGGATGTGAATTAAGTGCTGCAATAAAGATTTAATGAGACACCAAAGATGTTTGAAAGCTTAAAGCCTTTTTATGCTCCTGTGAACACTCTGTTTAGGAATTCTAGCACTTTTATGAACAGTAACTTGAAGTACTGAAATATTTACTGTCTCAGCCCTTTAAAACTCATTTAAACAAAGCAGTTTGAGTTGAGTTGAGGGAGAGGGATGAGTTCATCTTGGCTTTATTTTAAAAATGAAAAAATGCTGTTTTTTGAAGTGAAGGAGAAGCTTGTTTGCCTTTTTTTGTGTTTTCTTTGCAGTAGAAATTTTGAAGGCCTGGTTGATTGTGTTTTTCTTAAAAAGTCATTTGAGTACAATAGTATTTAAAGAAAAGTCTAAGAAAATGTATTTCTGTGTTGCTGGAGAATACTTGGCATGGATTCCGTTTAAGGTTAGGTGTGAGCATAAGATTTGCAGATGCACTCGGCATTTTTACAAGTAGGCCAAGACTTGAAACTCTCATTTTAGTGTCCCAGTCTTGAGGCTTTATTGAACAAAAATCTCAGGCTTTGTACTGAACAATGAAAGCTGTGTGGTGTTAATTCACAAGCTGCCTCTGGTCTCTTTTATTCCTGTTAGATGGAACCTACTGAGCAGATGGAATCTAATTTACGATCAGAGAATGATACCTGCAGTGACATTGAAGGCATAATTCAGCTAGATGGTACTGGTGATGTTTCTCCCAAGGAAGAAATACCACATGCATATGATAGGGAAGAGAATGAATTCATTGGCATTATTGAATCGGAGGACCTAAGAGTTCTGGAGGATGATGAAGATGATGAAGAATGTGACAGTATTTCAAACACGGGGTCTAGCAGCAGTGGTGGTGATAATGAAGAGGCACAAATAGATGTGGTTGAGGAGGTAATTTACTTTTAAGCTTTTTGAAGCACATTACAATAGTGTATCTATCTTTGCTGTTGAATTGCTAGACCCAGAAAAATTCCTGGTAAGTTTACTGCAGAGAATGCACAGTTAAGTGACATGCCTCTAGGGGCAGGAGGAACTCCTGAGAAATTACTTGAGAGCTCATTACGAGGAGTGTGGACAAGAGAAAGAGATATTGAGTAGTCATTTGTTTATTGGATGAATTAAAATACTTAATTACCAGAATTAAAATTTTATGACAAAACCCTGGCCTCAGTGGAATGGAGTTCTGCTTTTTATTTAAGTAAGATTCAGATACAAAACTAAGTTTCTTTTCCCCCTGCAGGGCTGAAGAGGATTAGACAGAGAACAATGTGATACATACGTTTCCTAGGAAAAGGCTTTTCTTTAAAGATGTGCAATTTTGTTTCATAGAGATTTGTAAGAGAATTAACTTGTAGCATCTGGACTTCAAATAAACACCCACTGAGTAGTATCCCAGCTTTGTCAGTTAGCACTTTTGCTTTTTGACCTGTGTTTTTGTTTAGGGTGTTTTTGGGAATGTAAGTGTGTAAAGATGCTTATAAATAAGCTTTGTGCAACATGGTTTTCGTTGGCTCCAGGTCTTGATTTTTGCAATGGTAACCTTCATTGGTCTAGGTGTGTTTAGTGTCAAGTATATTCAATGCTGTTCTGAAAGAATGTATAAAATACAATCTTAATTTGTAGGACCCCTTAAATTCTGGTGATGATGTCAGTGAACAGGACACTCCAGACTTGTTCGACACTGACAACGTGATAGTTTGTCAGTATGACAAGGTACAGTATATGGTTTTATCTTTGTTCCTTAATAATTCCAAATGGTATCTTTAGCAAATTCACGTCTGGTCTACTGCTGACGCTTCCTAAAGAAAATCTAGTGCTGTAACAACTGAGTGTTTAAATTACGCCTTTAGCTGTCAGCAGTCTGAAGACTTACCTGCTGTTTTCTGAAATGAGGGTAATCAATGGGTTCATAACAGCCTACTAAAAGAAAAGGCAACAAAATCTTGCAAAATTAAGATTTGTAAAGTTGCAAAAGCTTACATTTCCTTAACTTTTAAGTCATAGCAACAGCTCCATGGATGTATGTATGCGTTTTCAGCCATGAAATGGGTAACACAGAGGAGTATGTGTACATACTACGTTTTCTTTGTCTTTCATGTGTTCACTGAGAGATTTTCCTACCAGAATCCTGTTCTGTTGGAAAAACAAGAGTTGTTTAAAGGCCTTATCATCCTCCTTCATTTTAATGTTTAAAATCCAATATTATTTTGAACTCCTGAAAATCAAATTCAGTACCTCCAACCCTGGTATGGTTTTGGACACTTAAGTCAGTAGTCTAGAAGTTGAAAAAACAAAGTGCATGTCTTAATTTGAAACAAATATGGAAAAATGTCTGCAGTTTGCTTAAGAATGTACCTTAGCTTTCATCCTTTTGAAAGTGACTAATGGTAACGTTTTTGTGTGTGTTCAACTAGGCCTGCTTTAACAATGTCTGTGTCTCAGGAAACAGTAGGCTGCTAAGAAAATTGTCTTTACTAAAGTGTAACAGATTGAGTGTTTTTGAAACCGGTTATTTTGGAAAATGGAGTTACAGGGAGAAGTGTGGAAAAGATGCATCTGAAATTGAGCCACAGTGTCTATTGTATTGAAAAGTACATGAAGTTTTTGAAGCTTCATAGCTCGCTTTGATGTTGCAGATGCTATAGGGAGCGGATGTTTCTACCTACAGCAAGTTGTCATAGAATCACAGAATGGTTTGGGTTGGAAGGGACCTCACAGACCACCTAGTCCCACCCCCGCTGCCTTGGGCAGGGACACCTTCCACTAGACCAGGTTGCTCAAAGCCTCATCCAGCCTGGCCTTGAACACTTCCAGGGATGGGGCATCCACAGCTGCTCTGGGAAACCTATTTGCACCCTCTCTGTGTAGAATTTTTTCCTGATAACTAATCTAAATCTCCCGCTTTCAATTTAAACCCATTACAAGGGCCTGTAGTGACAGGACAAGGGGTAAAAAGTCCCCCCCCAGATTCCTTGTAGCCCCTTCAGGTACTGGAAGGTGCTATAAGGTCTCCCTGGAGCCTTCTCTTCTCCAGGCTGAACAAGCCCAACTCTCTCAGCCTGTCCCCATAGCAGAGGGGCTCCAGCCCTCTGAGCATCTTTGTGGCCTCCTCTGGACTCACTCCAACAGGTTGATATCCTTCTTATGTTGAGGGCTTCACAGCTGGATGTGCTGTAATAAGCTGAAAAATGGGTTGAAAACTTTAAAAATCTGACAGAAACTTCAACACTGGACACGTCTATGGGAAATTTTAAGATCAGATGTTATTAGACATTAACAGTTACAGAAGTTGGGGAAAGGTGTTATAACTCTCCCCTTTCCTACATAGATTTAATAAAACCTGTAGGCCTAGTAGGAAGCGGATGGAAACAGTAATCTATTCAATTACCTTGTTACCTATAAAAGAATGCTGTTGGAAAAATAGCTGTCCTGTTTTTTTTTTGTTTCTTCCCCTTCTTTTTCTTTCTGAACTTGAAAACAGACTGATGCTTAAAATCCAGAATTTCCTAGAGGTGCTTAAAATTCCTTCTTATAGTATTAAACAAAAGATTTCTGCTGTGTAGATCGTTTTGCAGGCGTTTAAAAAGATACAGAATATGCAAATTCTCTTATTGTTTCATATGGCAGTATTTGCTTTTGGGCAAAGTTTTCCTGCTGTTAGCCTTATCCCCATGTCCCTGTGCATGCAGCATCGCTTTGCAATGCGCATGGGAGGAGGAAGCCATGGCATTTCTGTTAAGCACACTTTTTTGCAAGGTGCAGTATATTTTGGGACTGATACACTAATGAAATTGCTCCATTATTGCCTTGTTTTCCTGCCAGAGTTGAGCTGTCACACAGCTACCTTTTGCTTTTGAATTTTCTTTTTTTTGGTGAGGTGTGTGTGCTAAGACTCAGGAGGTTGTTCCCTTGAGAGGGCAGGGGATTAATTATAAACAAGTGAAATCTGCCTCTGAATATTTGTGGTGTGGTCAGTGGCAGTGTTGCACATGTTTTGGGTGATCAGGATTTTAAAAGGGAAACCAGTTTTGTAAATCAAGTTGTGCTTTGAAAACCCGTTGTTTTTTAAGTGGATGGTCTAATCTTTTTGTTTTGTTTTGGGGTGGCACTGATTTATTTTTATCAGATACATCGAAGTAAGAACAAATGGAAGTTCTACTTAAAAGACGGCGTGATGTCCTTTGAGGGTAAAGACCATGTTTTTGCAAAAGCCATTGGAGATGCAGAGTGGTGAAACCTCCCTGAAGTATGTATCTTAAGACTCTGGCATTATTCCTTATGAACCTTCTGCGAAGCTACTACACTTTCTGTTTTTTAGCCATAAAACAACCCAACAAAATAACAAAGCCGTGATTAGAAATAAGCAAAATCAGGGTTGTTAATACGTGCAAACTAAAACACTATTGGGAGCTGCTCAACTGTCTTTGTGGGTCTTTTCTGATTATTTAATTACTTTTCTGCCAAAGAAACATGGAATGAGTGAAGGGTGAAATTTTGAATCTCTTAGTAATTCAAGAAAGCCATGGAATACTGACTACATTTAAGTAAATTTCAGTTCTGTAGGATTTCTTTCCATTTCTTCAAAAAGGTCTAAAGTATGACTTGAACTATAAAACTACACAGTTACTGGTGATAATATTTCTTTCTTTTCAAAGGCTGCTGGGTTTAAAAAAGGAACAGAGCACTGTCTGTGCGAGTCTGAAACCTGTGGCTGTTTCAGCTGTGTCCTTCCCCCCCTTCCTTCCTCCCTTGCTTTTTGTTCCTGCTTTGTTTGTGGGGTTTTGACTTCAGCTTAAAGGCAGGCACTTTACATGTAAGTCAGGAAATGTGGGTGGAAGACCCTTGAGCTCTCAGTGTATGAGAATTATTATTGTTTATTCTGTACCCTCTGTGCCTACCGAGGTGCAATGAATAGTGTGATTTAACATTAAAATGTGATTTATTTTCACTGTCAATGCAAAGTCATTTAAGTTTACTTCTGTACATACCCACTACGTTCTAGGACTACAGACCAGTAAGCTGTGAATGAGACAAATTGTGCATAATAATAAAATGTCATCCCCTATACGTTTCTAGCAGAGAGTTGGGTTTTTTGTTCCCTAAATATAAACTTTGCTTAGAGAAATGTGCAGAAGCCATGCATGTGACGGCAGCTCACCCTGCCACGAGAACTGCATTCCCAGCAGCACTCCACGATAGCTTTTTGTTTGTTCCTCTAGGAACAGGGGTCAAGAAGAGGCGTTCTGGGCCCTAGCCCTTCAGAGCTGCGGCTTGCCCCTACAGGGCAATATGGGATACTAAATGGCAAAGCCTCAGCCAGGCTGACTAGAAACAGGATAATCCTGCTAGAAGGGCAGTGCCACATGAAAGGGTATTGCACCCCTTCCTTCTGGCTGCTGCTTTTACACCTGCCAAAAGAAGAGCTCGTGGAACATTTCTGTTATCTCTCCTCCCCGGGAGGATGCAGAGGCCTTGAGAAGGGAAATAAAGAAGAGACTTGGAAAGAAGGAATATATAGAAGAAATGGGGGAGGGACCCAACTCTTTTTCATAGTGGTACAAACCCCTGTCCTGATGGTATGAAAAAGAGGTTTCCCTCAGGAGGTAGGTTTTTAACAACTATGGAGTTTCTTGCATCTCTTTTTTTTTTTTTTTCTGGACATATCTGCTGCTCTCCCTTACCAAAGACAGGACACTGAGCTAGAAGGTCTGACCTGAGTGTGGCATTTCCTTTGCCTTGTATAGATACGGTTGCTGGGAAGTGAAGGGCTGTGTATTCAGAGGCGGATCAACTATTACAGTGTATGGCTTCTTTTTCCCTGTTCAGCTGAACTTGCAGCTGCACTGATGCTACACTTCAGACCCATAAATGCACAGGAAATGCAGCTCTTACCACATGATAGATGCTTTTAGATTTCAGCACTGTCTCACAGGCTCTGAGGTGTTCATAATGAATACATTATGAACTGTGGGACCATCAACTTGGGCACTGTAGTGGTGTTTCAGAAAAGACCGGAAGCAGAGGTGGTACGGCACAGGAATCCGCGGCACGTGTCTGGGTATGCACCATTCACAAAGCACCACGTGGTCTCTGAATGTTGCTTCTGAGACTAAGATCTGGTTTTGCTAGTCACAAAAACATCAAGAGGCTAAAGAGTACTTATTTTTAGCTATATGTAAAGATGGGCAGCTTTTCCCTCTTTGCTGCATCTTTCTGCTTGTGGTGGTAAAGGCTTCTTCTACAGGAAGGTGGGGAGTTGGAGCTCTGACTATCCTTGTGACTGCCTATCTCCCCTCTCTCTGTCTCTTTTCAGAGCTTGTTTCTCTGTGAAGGGCTGCAGAGATGAGTGGGAGAGAAATACTAAAGTAAGAACTCCCCTCCCGCCCTACCTCATCTAATCTTTACCAATTCATACTTATTACGTACCTTCTACCTGTTAGCCTCCTCTGCCTGTTTATCTTGCAAAACATCAAAGCAGAAGTGTTTTAAGAATGGATTAATTTTTTTATGGCAGCTTGCTGCAACTTCTCTGCAGCCCAAGTATGATAATGATTATACAGACTGCACATTGAGATTTGGAAATACTGTTTTAACACTGGCCTCTTATTTCTCAAGCTAAGATTTAGTGATATTTTAAACCCTTTTCTGCTTTTCCCAAATCATGTGTGCTGTCATCAGTTTAAATCTCAAGGGGCTGTGTACCACCTCTCTTTCTGAAGCTTTGCTGATAGTATATGTAACCGCATGTTATTCCTGGTCCAAGATGACCTGCATCAAAAGGGATGTCATCAAGCATCCCCCTGGGTTTTCCTTTCCTTAATGTGGGAGTGTGTCTTCCTGAGATATCAAATATAGAAGCTTTAGGGTTTAGAATAGGTTTTTGGTCTTGCTATCTCACCCCTTGCTTATTTGAGATAATGGCTACTAAATTCATAATGCTGCAGGTCTGGCTCCCTCCAAACCACACTGCAGCTATTCCTTGGGAGTGCTTGCAGTGGTTTTCCCAGTCCAAAGCTGTGGCCTGTCTATCTGGACTCCTGCAGTAGGACTGACTCATTTCTTTCCATCTAGGCATACAAGAACTGTCCTACACTTTGTTTCCAGCGTTCTTGAATGAACGTTGGCAGAGACTTACAGCTTTGATTAACACATTTACAACTAAAAATATCTGAAGTCAGGGATTTTTATACTGGTAAAAAGTGTTTCTTATTAAAATGTAAGCTCAGTTAGCTAATTACTATAGCCTATGACTTGAGCAGTAAACAAATCAGAATGTTTTTGATCTGAAAAGTTTATGGTATTAATGCTTTTGATTGCTGCTACTTACGATTTAGCAAACATATCACTGCAGATGTGGAGCGAGAAGGTGTGTAACACCAGCTATAGCCATTGAAGATACTTCAGTAAATGGCTGTCTGAAACTTTACTCCAGAAAGAAGGTAAGTTTACCAAAAAATGAGATAGAAGAACAACTGCAACTTGTGTAAGAAGCTTTAGCATGAATTTACATCTTTATTAAAGTGTTGCTTTTACTTATTCGTTCGCTTCTGCATAGAAGAATGTGAAGTATGGATTTGTTGTTTGTGGTGTGCTATGTATTTTTTTTGTTTAATCAGCAGTTATTTCCTAAATGGTAGATCTCACTCCCCTTACAGCAGGTACAAAAATGCCCGCACCTCTCGTGCTTCTTCGCCACTACCTACGCGGCGCTGTAAGGCAGGCACTATCGACTGTCGCTGTGTCTGGCTCCTTTCTCCTGCATGCCGTTCCCTGACAGCGTTACCTGATTGGGGGGGCAGGAAGGGGGTGCTTGCAAGCTCTAGTCCTCTTGAAACATAACGTTAGCAACTCCATTATTGCCCGCTCAAGATGTTGTTTTGCTGTGTCTTAAATTGTGTGCAGGGGTCTTCCGTGTGCTGTCCCAAGAAATGAGTCTCAAAACCCATTTTTGAGATAGGTGACAGGGAAGCCTCAGGTCAGATAGTTTTGGTCGTTTTTTTTTTTTTTTCTTCTTCAGCAGCGTATTTAGTTTCTATTACAGTTAAATAATCTGTAACAGTCCCGTTTGCTCATTTGCTAAGCTCAGGAGCTGATGTGTATAAAGACGTGGAATTTTTGCAGATTCATAGAATCATAGAATCA